GTTCTGTGGTCTGTCAGTGAGGTAGTCGGAGATCTAGTTTTTCCAGAAGCAGGCCGGGCCGGATTGTATTAAAGGCACTCAAAAAGTCCAGAAACGGGATCCTGACCGTGGCTTTCCCCTTGTCCAGGTGTGTGTGCGCTCTTTGTATGAGGTATAGAATGGCATCCTCCTCTCCGACATCCGCCTTGTAGGCGAACTGTACTGGGTCCTGGCATGTTGTACCTGTGGTTGGAGGAGGTTGAGGAGGAGCCGCTCCAGAGTTGTCATAAGATGTGACGTGAGTGCCACCGGTCATTCAGCTCATTGGGTCGGTTCTTTTTGGGGACTGGGATGATGTAGGATGTCTTCCAGATGGCGGGCACTCTCCCCAGTCACAGGTTGAGGTTGAAGACTTGTTGTAGCGGCTCCCCGTCACCTTTAAGGTTCTTGTTTCACCAGGGAGTCAAACTACTGTGCTTTCTTTTTCAAATGAAAAGCAAATTTCCTAAAGCTTGTATTTAGATTTGTTATTTGAACTGGAGCTCAACCGCAAATCCCAAAGTCAGGAAAAATTACAGAGACTTTTTGCTTTGTCGATATCTATTGCTGTCACAGTTTATCATACAACATCAGTTACCTCTACTGGAAGAAGAAAGCTTCATAATGCAGAAATCCACATGTTTTATCTCTTTTTGCAACATTTTTTCTTTTTGCTGAGATTTTCTTAAAATGCAGTGCATTTGACCTGTCACAGTCACTGTAAATTGCACTGGTTTTCTTCATTCCCATCCAAAACTCAAGCAGAAGACCACAACCACACATCGTTTTCTTTTAAAGAGTCCAGAAGGTGACTATATACTACAAGATAACTACAGGACTATTGAAAAAAGAAACAAAAACCCCAGATCATATTACACACTGTTATACAATGAAAAATGCAGTAAAGATTATTGTGTACACAATTTGGATGTCAACATCTAATGAATGTGTGAATTTTTTTTTTCGCTGGATTGGAAAAAATATAACCTGCTGCTTGACACTGGAGTAAAGACATTCATCTTGGTTGTTCCTCTGTCTCGTTGAACTGTTGGGTAGGTTAACACTTAAAGCAGTGTAGTGGACGTTGTCTGCATCATGGTGTAACTGACCGGGACTTGACCCACTGTTCTTAAGATAGACAATTGGTACAGTTTTTTTTTCCACCTTTAAATTCAGAAAAGACCAAAGTCATTGTTATCATAAAAATCTCATACATATTCTGTTTAACCAGGTACTAACTCTAAATGGCATTACTAATACCTAACACAGGTCCTAGTTTGGATTTGGGCGACCTCTACTTTTAAGATTAGGCTACACACTTTCCTTTTTGGTCAAGTTTAGAGTTACACACGGATCAGGTGACACCAAACCATCCCTTACTCATGCTTCTATTTTCATTCCCATGTGGTGATTCACCACTACAGCATGTCATAGTTTGTATGTTGACATCGTCTCTCTGTGCTCTTCCATTTTCTCTTCTCTAGCCCCTCGTTTCCAAAGCCTTCCTCAGCTTGGTTCTGCTGGAGATTTCTTCCCTTTAAAAGTGAGTATTGCTGCTCATTGGGGATTACCTTATTGTTGGGATACTCTCGATTAAAGCTGGATCTTTACATTTTAAATAACCAATATCCATCCAGTATCCAACACTCATTTGTACAGATTTAATTCTTCAAAACATCAATTCAAAAAGGTGCTGAAAACCTTGCTCAGACATATTGGTTATACTGATATAATAGGATCTGCTGCAGATTTGGTATCTACA